TGGAGCGCTGCCACCGATGACGAAGGACTACGGGCTACAGGCATGCTACAGGTAAGCTGGAAGAATTATTGAGACGGTTGGAAGATAAAGGTGGGCGTTTTGGTGGAGAGAAAAGAAAGAGGAAAAAAAAACAGAGGGAGGAAGGAGGGAGGAAAGGGATGGGTTGAAGTTGGAGAAAAGAAAGAAGGAGGGAAAGAGAGCAAGCTGGCGGAAAGACCCAGCACTACAAGCCACCAGTGACTCCGTTCCCTTTCTGCAGATATTCTTTCTTTTCCCCTCTCCTATCTTGTTTCTTACTTTTTGCTCTCTTTCTTTCTTTCTTTCTTTCTCCTTGCTCTCTTTCTTTCTTTCTTTCTTTCTCTCTCTCTTTGTTTCTTTCTTTCTCTCTCTCTCTCTTTGTTTCTTACTTTTTGCTCTCTCTCTCTCTCTCTCTCTCTCTTTCTTCCTCCCTCTCACCTGCATTTTCTACGCAGTTCCACACAAAGAAAGATAGAGGCAAGTTCTGGCACCAATGAGAGAGCCAACTGGATGGAGAATTGACCCAGGTCACACCCAACTTGCCCACACACCCACCTATACTACACCAAACACTAACTGCTTCAACACCTCTTTACAACACGACTTAACTAATTACTGAGAAGGGGGGTGGGGGTAGTGTTGCTTTTTAGATTAGTAAGAAATTGTGTCCAACAAAACGATTGAAGAAAATTCGAGATCAAACTAAAGACCAGACAAGACAAGAAACGTTCTGAAATGTTGAGGAATAAACAGAAAACTTTTCAATTTTAGTTTTAGTAAGAGTTTTACGGCTCTTGCAACACAATAAGGTATGTTACAAGAGAGTAACAAGCACAAAAAAGGAGGAAAGATAATGATGATAGATGTTTTTTGTCTTAGTAGAGGTTTTACGGCACTCGCAACTCGCAACTGCATAAAGTCATATTACGAGCGCCAGAAGATTAGAGGTGTAACAAGAGAGTAACATCATAAAAAAGAAGAAGGGGAGATAAGGACGATAGATGTTTGACAGGAAAGAAGAAGCAAACCCCACCAAAGCACCCGTCAACCACCCACACAGAAAACTTTGTCAAGAAAAGAGAAAGCAGGTAGACAATCAGAAAGAAAGAAAATTCATACTGGATTTAGAAGGATAACATAGTCGGATAACACATAATGCGTAAAAACAAATTTTTTAAAAACCAAAAAAAAAAACCCAACGGGGAACAAAATAAATTGTAGGCCTACTGCTCTTTACGGTAACAAAAAGCAATAGCAAAAATGTAATGTCTATGCAACAACCTCCCCGGCAGAGAGAGAGAGAGAGAGAGAGAGAGAGAGAGAGAGAGAGAGAGAGAGAGAGAGAG